GTGTGTGTGTGTGTGTGTGTGTGTATGAATTGATTTAATTTTCTTATTCAATAAAAGGAAGAGTTGTTCTGCATCTTTGGAGTTAAGTGTGTGTTGTGTTTGAAGCATATTTGTTGTTGAAGCTTTTATCTTAATGATAAACTGAAAAGCCAAAGACATGATTTTAAATTATTAAAATATATAAAAACAAACAAAAAGGACCAAAAACAAATGACTTTGCTTTTACATGATCAGCAAACATTAAGATTAAAGTGCTGGGAATCTGGGCCAATGTTGTTTTGGTATTAAAGTGTTGTGTTTTGATTTAAACACTGCAGTGGTGTTCTGCCCTTAATTGCTCGCTCTGTTTTGATCTGAATAATGTCATCAGAAAAAAAAACAACATTACAGAGTTAAATGGGAATAGTGTTCTATATCGAATATTAACATACCTTTATGTTTTCTGTATTTTCTGGTCATCCATGCGCTTACTGTAATAATCCTTGCAGAAATTGGTCAATTTTTTTTTGTAGACAAATCCAAAACCATCAATAAAATGAAGACCTACAATTACTTCAAAGAATGCACGTGGCCTGTTGCCTTTCATGCAAGAGTTTACATCTAATAATTACGACCTGAAAGTTTCGATACAATCCATTTACTGGTCCTTGGAGTATTTTCCTAACCGGAAAATTTGAAAGCAAAGATCTTGTGCAATATGGTAGCATTAGGAATATGTGTTGGAGATCAATATCATTTACTACCACATCACATTTCAGCTCAATTTCTATTACATTGACTGAGTTATAATCATTTTCATGTTTTCTAGGGTTGATTAGCTGTGGGAGCCTTTTTTAATTGACATCTGATTATTACAAGAACACACCCACATAGCAGACAGGTGTGGGCCAGAGCTGGCGTCAAACTGGCACTGATGGCATGGCAATCGGTTTGTCAACCAGATGTGGGCCAGGYCTGGCAGTGATGGCACTGTTTGTAAGATGGCATGCCACAACTGGCCTGGTTGGGGTTTTATGCTATGTGGTGCGGGCCCATGCGTGGACCACCTCTGGCAAACATCTGGGCTACCAAAGGACCATGAGTCTTTGCTGTATCTGGGCCACAGAGTGTGGATAGTATCATTAGGTTTTTAACCCATTGTTAAACTGACTCATTTTTCTTTAATTGATTTTTACATWATCACYGTAAATAAAGGCAGGCACACAGTGTTTTRCTGTTTCTATTGAGTTTTCRCTCTWGAGCTTCTAAAAGAGTGTTAAATACCTCTGCTGCCTGGGAGGGTTTTAATTTGGTGTCTTTTTTTGTTGTTAAACTGTGAGTCAGGTTTTATGAAAGTGCACTGCAAATTTAGAATGAGCTCCTGAAGGTGAATAATTGGTCTCATTGAAGGACATCTTTGGTATGAAATGGCTGTATTGTTCATGGGTGCAAWTGTCTGTTTAATTTACTAAATTATAAAAATTAAAAGTAAGGCAGGGAACCCTTTGAGTATTTTCCAGGAGTGTTCATCAGAGACAGAGGGAAATTCAAGTAGTTAATCCGGGRTTGAAGTCCACATAGACTGCAGCCCACAGAGGCCACAACTTTCGAAGTCCGTGTGGACTGAATTGAACAGCTGTTAAATTAGATGGTCTAGTCTTTGGATGAAAAATGTTTGTGTGACCACGCACTACCCTGTTGCCATAGTGATGTGTTTTTCATCACATCACAAAAGTGCCTAAAACTTAAAAAACATTGGAAAATGTATTCACACTTTTCACAGGAGGTATAACTTCAYAAAATCCAATGTATTTTTTAAAGCGTTGCACATAAACACACAAAAAAACATTAATAATTTGGGTTTCATTCCTGTATCAGCAGTATTACTTCATAGTAATATTGTGAAACTTTCCTTTTTGGCTCTAATCACTATTTRGGTTTTAGAATGTTCTATTCTGTTCAATTTTACTCGTGGCATTCACATTTCATGCTCATCRTTATACARTGGTCTGCTCAAAATGTGTATTGYACTTGTACATACACCTGATCGAATTGTATGAGTACAATGAAGAGGGTAAAAAGCTCCAGTATAAATRTTTTTAATTGCATGTTCTGCAACATCACATCACAGCATTAATTCCATCAGCTAAGTTGGTAAACAACTAATTCTTTGGTCTGTTATGACTTTCCAAACGCCGCCTTTTTCTTTTTCCATGTAAAGCTTGATGACTGCGTAATGAGTCCTGGGATATCGTTAGCACCAGTTTATTGGTGCCAGAGCCAGACAGACGTTTCAATAGTGGAGATGAAAAGAGCTGGAGCTAAGCGAGCTTTGTTCAGTACTGGAAAATAATCATAGGATTTACAACAATTGCCTTATAAGGAAATGGTAGGCAGACATAGCTGAGGTTAGGAAAGTATAAAWGTAGAAGTCGATGATAAAAAAGCTGATGATGGTATGTTTTTGWTGTTTTGTGCAACCCAAATATTCTCAATCTTATTTGAAGCTCTTCGTGCCTGATCATGATCGGAACATAGAATGATCAATTAGCTTTACTGCCTTGTATTACAATAAAAGTCACTGAGCTGAATCAAAATTCATGTGGAATCATACTGCATCTAGATTGATGAGTGAATCTTTGTGGATTTTGCTTCTCATCTATCAGATTATTGGCACTGTGTCTACCCTACTGTACACCTAATTTAAGAAGGAAATACAAACACGTTTCAGTCGCAATAATCTAAATGAAWACAAGCGAAAGTTTAAATAAAACTGTCTGAATGTTTGTTTCGTTTCCTCCAAACAGTTCTTTTCACGCARCAGTAAACATTTAACGTAGCTGATTATCTGCCGTATCTTTGAAAATCAATCAGGGACTCAGCCTGACCTGAAATCTTGTTTTGAAAATGTGTGAGTGCTTGTAGAAACTTAAGGTGAAYCCAAAAATCAACAAGAAAAAAGAAGTTTATGAGCTTATCCTTTAAATCGATCCATTTCCCTCTATCCTTTATTGGTACACATTTATTCCAAGCAATGGTATAACTAAAATCATCTTTCAGTTTGCTCATGTGTTTCACTGTTTTGCTGTAACTGATCCAARCCTCATTTAGTGCAAAACATTTTCATGCTATAAACAAATTTCTTCCATAAAAAAGATTCTTATAATATTTCACACCAAGAATGTCACACAGGTCAACATACTGCTTCCCTCAACTCCAAATGTAGCTGGCTCTTTTCTTCGTCTTCATTTTTTAATTGATCTTTACTATAGGTACATTTAAAAAGGCCATAACTGTGATTGGTGGTTTGGCACATCCTGGCCTGCCCTGTATTTAATGCCTTCACTTTATGAGCTATAAAACTCTAAACAGATAATCAATATGGGGTCGCCACACTCTGAGCAGCTTAAAAAGGCTGATGAAAACTTTTTGTAGCTTTGAAAATGGCCWTGAATGAATGTGAGAGTGTGGCCACAAATGCATTTATGGTCATTAATTTCCCACTGCGAGCAGCAGAATTAAAATGTGCAGGTACCAACACAAAAAAACCGAGGRTTATCTTTAGGAGACTGCTGACTTAGCCATGAACACATTTGGATGTTACTTTCTCTTTCACCTTTGACCTTTGTTTCCCTCCACCTCCCCCTGCCTCTTTCTGTTTCTTTCAGGTGGTCATGGTGGGTTCGTCTATAAACGAACGAGATCAGATGTTGTTTATCAGCACAGATGAGGGTTCTTCCTTCCAACGACAGTCAATCGACTTCACGCCGGAGACACTCATCTTCCACCCGAAGGAAGAAGACAAGCTGTTGGCCTACTGCAAGGATGGCAGAGTGAGTTTCCCAGAGCTGCTGTATCAAAACCCAACTGTGTGATAGATCCGACGTACAGTTCCAAAATTAAAACAGTATGGAATCAAGTTTAGTTAAACTTCACCACTAAATGTCCACCTAACCAAGTTTTAAAATCTTATATCCAGCCAAAAAGTCTTTTTGATCTTGTTTTGAGACTGATTTACTAAACAAGAACCGATTGTGTAAGAATAACAATCTTGTTTTCAGATTGTGTAAGATTATTTCTCTTGTTAGCCTGAAAATTTGACTCAAATTAATTCAAAAATTTCTGCCAATGGAGTAAAAAATTTTACTTGGTAAGATTCTTTAAATACTTGATTTGGCTCAATTTTGTGTTATTTCAAGATTTATTGAAGAGAGTTGTTAAGAGAGTTTTTGCAGTGCACCTACACTTGCAGGTCTTCTGTATTTATCATATTTAAYAATTTCTTTCTTGATTTGAAAATGTGCACACAAACCAAATGAAAAAGTATCAAATTTGTACCCCTGAATTGATTGAAGTTGTTTTAACACCAATAATGTGTTTTGAAATCCATTAAATTCTGTTTAGCTCTGGCCGTAGTCAGAAAGTGATTACAGCTAACACTCTACAGATCATTGAGTCAAATAATGCAAGCTATCTCCTTAATGGTACTGTAGGGATTTTTGTTTCTGACCAGTGTGGCAGTTGTCAGGGCTTCTGCTATAACACTGTTAGGACAAATGACACGAGCAGCTGACAGTCTGACAATTCTCTATTTGTCTGTAATAAAACTTCAATTGAGCACAGTTTCATGGACAGCTACACAATCGTTTTTTATGAAAAAGTGCTAAATTATTTAGCTGCTTGAAACAACCAATAAACAACCTCTAAGAATATGCCGKGGAATGCTGTTTTGTAAAACCGATGAAGCACTAAGCCAACGCCTCACGGTGGTGTTCGACATCTCATTTAGCTAGAACTGTCACTTCCTGTGCAAGTGTTAAAACAGGCCATTTAATWGTGACAGAGATACTGTGCAGAGGGATCCTCAGGTGCTGCTTAATGAATGTGCATGCACACTTCCACAGCAGATAATAATGCAGCTATGTGGCTCACAGATTCCTCAACTGCTGTTTTCCATCCACACTGATTGTAGCTGGGAGGCATTGTAATGATTCAGTGGCTGCATTTAAGTATTCAGTGCTGCACAAGAGGAGCCTGAGAGTGTGATCAGTCKTTGTTGGGACTCAGTTTTTTCTCATGATTCAAACACTAAGGTACAATAGGTTTATAYAACAGATATGAATATGTGATCATGTCTGATCAGTTTTTGAGCCATTAAGAGCTGCAAACAGCAACAGTTTGCAACTGTGTAATTAGGATACATGGAAAAGTGATCCTTCGTTTAGAGCAGGGGTGTCAAATTCATCTACACCGAAGGCAACATGAGTGTTGTGGTGGCCCTCGGAGGGCCAGTAATAATTAACTTTGACATTTTGGGTTTTAACAACAATGTGACACACCATAGTGTGTCACATTGTTGATATAATATGATGTTTTTATTTATTTCCCCTCATCTTTCCTTGTGTGGTTTTTAGTTTTTCTTTTAAGGGTTGCGCCTCCTCATGACATCTTCATGATGATGATCCTTGCTCTGTGCAGGGGTCTGTGGCTGCATGACCCAGGACACTAGAAAAATAGATGGCAAAAATGCGGAAATGGAGATTTGACACAAACAATTTCATCAGCTACTAATGGTACCCACAGCTACCCTGTGGGTACCATCGTTTTGCTGATAAAATAATCAACATGCATTATGGGAGAGGTAGTTCATGCTGTTTATAGTAGTATGAGAGTGTTTAAAGACATTGATAGATCTTTGAAGTAGTGATGGGAAGATCAGCACTTTGCAGAGAGCTGGCTCTTGTGGAKTGGCTCCCAAATAGCTCTAACTTATCATAGCCTCATATATTAGCTTAACTTGACAAATATGGATCCTTTGCATTGGTTAACCCTTTGGAATTTAGTGTTTTTATGAAAAGATAGAAAGACAACAACTAACACATTGAAAGAGTGTTTRCCACTGCTGGTGATKTMGTTACAGGTGCTTAWWTTTGTGTATTTGTTCTGTTATAAAAGCAAGCAAACTTACATTTTTTTATTGTTTAATCAAACTTATTTTTATTCACTTGTTCGAGTATGCAGACAGAAAACCACTCCACCTGATTGTCACATCTTCCTCTCTTCTCGTCTCCATCTTTGAGAGAACTTTAGGGAAGCCTGGGTTACCTCGTTCCTCCCCTCTCGTGTTCGTGTGCTGCTGAATGCTCTCTGCGCTGTGTGTGTGTCTGTGGACCCTCCCCAACTCTCTCTATGTCAGAGCTGAGGAGTTGCTCACTGCCCCTCCCGCCCAGTGTAGACACAACCAGCTGTCTCTCGCTATCACAGATCTTAAATAATTACGTGCGGCTTTCACAAAAAAAAAAACAGCTCCTGATCAAGAGTCGACTCCCATTGWTCACTTCAAAGAGCCGTAACGTTTGCGACTGACCCATCACTACTCTGAAGCTCTCCCAGGCTTCACACAATGTYGTGGTGGGCCACATTTAACCTGCAAACCTTGAGATTGATGCTGATTTAGAGATTAAAAACAAAAATTAAAACTGCCTTAATGCATGCTGTTGGACATCCATTTAATAAAGCCAAAGATTAAAGAAAAACCTGGTGCAGTTATGTAAACGCACACTAAAGACAAGTCCAACAGTGATACTAACTGTGTTCTTCACTGTTCTTTAGAAACCAAATGGTTCAGAGCAATGGGCCAAGAACAAWGTACATTAGAAGCACCTCCTACAAAATGACAGGAGGGGCAGAGTTATCAGCTTTATTTAAGTTCACAAAAGACATGAGGACTARTTGGGGATTGCCCTGGTTTTCCCAGTATTTATGCAATATGGCACAGGCATGACCAGTATTCCAGAATATGTACAATAAGACACACCTCCACAAATTWGCCTCCTAATGTGGTGGAGCAGTTCAAGTACACCAGTTATCTCAGGAGTCATTTTGTTTAGGGTTAATGGCCATCACCCTTGAAAGAATCCTTATAGTTATAAAGTCTAATCATGACAGTTTGCCTGGATTACCTTTGAGTTAGTCCTCGGGATGGTCTGCGCCTGGGACCTGCTTTGTAACAGTCTAAACAAGCTACATGTAACTCACCACCTGAGGACCTGTCATACAGGGGGTGTTCCAAAGGTTTGAAATTGGTGCTTAAAGTCCAATTTTATCTATATCTGTTTTTTAATCACTTCTATTTACTCAATACCTGCCTCTTGTTTACACAAGTGTTGATTATTAGTCATACTTTATTCAAACTTTATACTGTAATTAAAGTAATCTTTCCATATGTTTAGAATACCTGTCTAGACATGGGTTAATTTTGTATCAACACTCTGCTTCTCTAATTAAATCCTTTTTTATACGTATCTATATAATGTAAGTAATATATGGATGTTATATAAAATCAGTATCCTTTAGTAGATCAAATCGTGCAGTGATCACAAGCCAAAAGAATCARAAAACTGCTGCTCCAAATCAGTAGCACATACAATCAACCTTTTACCCTTCTTTTCCATTTTAGTAAAAAAAAAAAGAAGAAGATGAGTTAGCAACAGCATATGTGGGTATACCTTTTTTTTTAGCAATGGAAAAGTGAACAAAACCACTGAAGTGAAACAGAAGCATCCAATTATTTCCAGCACTGTCTCATTTATTTATGACAATCACTAAAGGGTAGCACATTAAATCCGTCAGGGATCATATCGTGCCTGAAAATGATGCACAGACCATTTAACCRTGACAGCGAGCTCTCCTGAAAACTGACCACCCCCATTTTTCTATTTTAAACTAATGATTTTTGTCAGTATAATGAGGAAAGTATCCTATTATCTCTCAAATATACATTACTCATGCTCTGCATTATACAGCATCTCAGGAAATTGCACAAAGCATCAGTTGTTATTTTCTCACATGTTTTACTCGCAGAAAACTCCTGTAGTTTTAGTTTTTTTCCCAACTTGTCAAATCTTTTCTTAAAACGACTTTTTCTTTAGGCTTTTCTATCTTCAGGGATTGCCACAGCAAGTCATCCTCTTCCATCTCACTCTGTCGTCACTCCCACTAACAACCTCCATGTCCTCTCTAACTGTATCC